GGCGGAGGTGGGAGGAGATGGAGCGGCAGCCGCAGGAGCGGCGCCCGCGGACAAGGCCGGCAGCCCCAGTCCCGGGGCGATGGAGGCGGCAAACCCGCGGCCCCGGAGAGCTCCTTCCCAGGCTCGGAAGATGGGGAAGGAGGCCAACGTCGTCTTGCCAACCGGGGGTGGGGGTGGGGAAAGATCCGCGCCTCGCGGCACCGGACCCCTGCTCGTTGGTTCTTCCTGCTGATGTCCACCCCCACAAAGTCCCTTTAAGGGTTTTGTAAAACTAGCATCCCTTCGTGGGACTGGGGGATAGTCACCCTTCTTCTACCCACTTCATTGTGAGCGAATTAGGAAGGATCCGGCGGAATAAGAGGGAGCTTTAAAAAAAAAGTTGGCACCTTTATCATCCTGTGGATGCTACGTCATTCAAGCGGAACTTGTAGATTCCCTCATCCCCCCCACGTGTTCGTTTTGTCATTCAGGCAGGGGTATGGTAGAAGGCATGGGGCCACTTTACTGTATCTGCCATCTGCACCGTCTGTTCTTCCAGAGTGGAATTGAGAAACAAAACTGGCCTCCTTTATGTTAAGCATAGTGAGGTACCGTGTTTCCCCGAAAATAAGAGAGGATCTTATATCATTTTTTGCTCCAAAAGAAGCATTAGGGCTTATTTTCAAGGGATGTTTTATTTTTTTCTTGTACAACAATCTACAGTCATGTCATCTTCTGGTTGCTGCACAGTGGTGGAGGGTGGGGTTTCACTTAACTAAGGCTAATTTTTGGGGTAGGGCTTATATTACGAGCATCCTGAAAAATCATACTAGGGCTTATTTTTGGGGAAACAGGGTAGTTGCCCCAGGAATCACCGGGAGGGGGTGGCTTCCTGAAAAGACAGCAGATGCTTCTTGGTATCTTCTTTTTGTATTTTTATCTCCAAAGAGGGGGGAAATGCCTGTGTAATTTTCTGCCTCTGGTGCCAAAATCATTTGCTTGGACTTCAGTACCTCCACTTCAGGCAGCAAAAACGCTTTAGGTGGGCCCTGCTAGAGAGCTTGCCTATGTTCGTGCCTGTTTTTATTTAATAGCTATGTGTAGAACTGTTGGATAGCTCAGTGGTTTAGGTGTCTGGCTGTGGAGCCAGAGTTTGGGAGTTTAGTTCTTCACTGTGCCTTCTTTAAGGGTCTGGACTCAGTGATCCACAAGGTCCCTTCCAGCTCTACAGTTCTAAGATGATGATGATGATGTTATGAGTTGCTCTTCTATGTAAATAATCTCAAGATAGCTCACAATAATTCAAACGAATACAAGAAAAAGGAATACAATACAATTAGAAAACACATTGTTCTTACACACTGTCACATTGCCTCTGACTTGTGACAACCCTGTCAATGAGAGATCTCCAAAATATTCTGTCCCGAACAGCCCTACTTACCTCTTGCAAACTTAAGGCTATGGCTTTCTTTATGAAGTCAATTCATCCCATATTTGATCTTTTTTTTCTGCTGCCTACAGCTTGTTCTGTTGTTACTCTCTTTTCCAAATAGTCTTGCTTTCTCATGATGTGCCCAAAATGGGATGACCTCATTTCTGTCATTTTTGCTTCCAGAGAAATGTCAGGCTTAATTTGATCTAGCACCCAGTTCTTAGTTTTTCTGGCAGTCCAGGCTGTCTTCAAAGCTGTCCTTCAGCACCACATTTCAATCAAACCAGTTTTTCTCCTTTCCGCTTTTCTTTACTATCCAGCGTTCACACCTGAAACAGTCATCAGGAATACGATAGTGTGCATAACCTTGGCCTTGGTCTCCAGTGACACACTTTACTATCCAGCGTTTACACCTGTAAGCAGTCATCAGGAATACGATAGTGTGCATAGCCTTGGCCTTGGTCTCCAGTGACACATTCTCACACTTGATGATTTCTAATTCCTTCACCACTGCCCTTCTAAGTCTCAGTCTTCTTCTCATTTCTTGGCATGCAGAAAACATGACTTGTTAAGAGAACAGCAGAAGCTAGCAGTAATTATTGCAAGTTAAAAGTTCGTACACATACAAATTCAGAGGAAAGTGTGACAGAAGTCATATGTGCACAATCTCTATGCGCAACCAGGGATGCTGATCAGGCAGGCTCTTAAGACTTCTTCATTCACTCTGCTGCATGAAGGGCAGGAGGGGACCCTAGGGTCAAATCCCTCTACAGAAGGTCTTCTTTCCCTTTCCTCATTTATTTTGGACTCTGTCAGGGCTAGAAACAGAAGGATACAGGACAAAAACACCTCCTCCATTCTGGAAAGAACACAGAGGAGCAAGTCCTTGTGGCCTAACCTTGCAGCTGCACATCCCACTCCTGTGTCGCCAAAAGGTTTTCTCACTGCATCCATCTGTTCAGGCAATGTGGGAAGGAGCTTTCCACATTACTGAAAGGCAGGCACAGGGGTTCCCCATGCAAGGAGCAGTAACTGTTCCTATTATCAGGGGTGGGGGAAATCTATGCATCGACAGTACTTGGTGAGTAACCCTTTACCAATGCCATCTGAATGCATAAACGGTGGGGAAGTGTTTCTTCCATACTTGCAGCAGCAATGGGGCAATTGGTCACAGTGGTTGATTGGGGGGATGGCCTGCCAGTTCTGGAAATCCCTTCGTGGACTTTTGAATGCAAGTATGTGCACACTTTCCCAACCAACCAGGTGGATTGGCTTAATCAGATAGCATATTGTGCATTTATTCCTTCATTCATTGTGTGTTTATCCCATCTTTTCTCAGTGAGCTCAAGGGAAAATATATGGCTCTCCTCTTCCCCATTTTAGCCTCACAATGGTCCTGTGAGAAAACATGGATCAATTGAAAGAATGTGACAGGCCAAGTTTGCACAGTAAGCTTCTTGGCCCAGAAGGAGCTAGAACCTCGATCTCCTATGTCCCCATTCCTGCATCTGAACTGCTACACTGCATACGCTCTCCCAACTCTAACTGAAGGCTTATTGATTAGGACAAACTGGTGCCTCACCCCAAAATATCTGCCCTGGTCACAAGCCGTCAGTGCTTTAGCCCAACATGTAGGGTTGCCAACCAATAATAGGAAAGGAATGTTTACGAATATGTTAGAGTGGTCCTAACCGACTAGATAGGCGGGATATAAATCGAATAAATAAATAGTAAATAAAATAATAAATTACTTTGAGGTGGATATGTATTTTAGTTCCTCTGCTCTAAAGCCAGTTTCCCAAAGGGAGTGAGGCCAATGTTTTCTCCTCAACAGACTGTGTTGGTTTTGAACTTGTACACATGAATGATAGTTCTCTCCTCCTCTGTATGTTTACCCACCATGTTTAATTGGATTCATTCCTCAATAAGTGTGCATAGAAGTGCCATTTTTGAAGGACAGATTTGTGTCATGAGGCAGTATAGACATTTGAAGAACAGTGTGTGTTGTCTTAAAAGAGGAGCATATTGTGAAAAAGATTCCATTTCTTGTATGAGAAAGCTGTCAGAATTAAGTTAAGATGCCAACAGACAATGGCTTTCTTCCCATCTTTCCTGCAGAAGATGGATTCCCTCTTACTGCTGTGATACCAGCATGATTTGTTTCACACCACCAGTACTATTTAATCATGCATGTAGCCCAAAATCTATGTGATTTCTTCTAGAAATGAAGTTCTTTGGATGTATTTGAATCTCACTCTGGAAACTTTAGATCATTTTTATTCACTTCCCTTCATAATCTATTGTAATATAATTCAATTATCTTCTCTTCAATGTACAACGAAGCCAAGAATTATTGCTATTACATCCTCCCCTTTGTTTCTTAAGAGAAAATATATCCTCATTTGTATATATTATTACTTGTGCTGAACAAAGAAATGCTATCATCTGGCATTTCATTATGGGGTTTGACTAGTCTCACAAATGACTTAATTACCAGTTCAATCATCAATCCAAATGGAGACTGCAGCCAAGAAATCAGACGACTAGGACTCAGAAGGACAACAGTGAAGGAACTAAAAAAGATACTTGATTTATAAATATTTTAATACATGTTTATAACATCTTGCTGTTCCTTTTCACCCCAATAATGCATAGTATTCTAGTATTTTGTCCAGCATAGTGGCTAAAATAGAAAATAACATTTTGACCTCATGTAAATCAATTACAAATGCCCATTGACCAGCCCTACCATTGGGAAAAATAAGGAATGTGTTTCAGGGAAAGGATCTGAATATCCTGTCAAGGCAGCAAACTAATATTTATATTACTACATTTGTTAGTACTCTTATTGAATTTACTGTATATAAATGAGGTCACTGGATAGTTCTGTGGTTTAGGTCTCTGGCTATGGAGCCAGGGGTTGGGAGTTTGATTCCTCACTGGGCCTCTTTAACAGGGGCTGGACTCAATAGTCCATAGGGTCCCTTCCAGCTCTGCAGTTCTAAGATTTTATCCTTATTACTGTATAAAGCTGGAGATAGGGAGAAGCAATGGAGAGGGGTTCGGCTTCTTTTGCCCAGATTTACCAGTCTGGCTTTTGGTACCATTGACTTTAACTTTAGGGGCAGGATGCCATTTGCTACTTCACCCCGGCTGTTATTTTGCTGTAACAGACTCCATAGCTAGTCCTTTGAAAATTGCCAGAATGTTTTGTGTAGTCAAGTAAGTAAAATGTAATTTTTCACTGGGCAGATTATTTTTGGTTAAAGATTGCACAGATTTAGGAGTGTAAGAGCAACGGCTCTTCAGGCAGGCTGAAAAGCAGAGCAAGGCAGGAGGACAAAATATACTACCATCAGGATGGGTGCCTACCTGAAGTAGGGCCTGGGTAACAGTATGGTAATTG